CCAATATATCTTCGTTTTAAAACTTGACTGAATCAATAGATAAATGTTGGCGGGTTGACCTGATAACATTTATAATAAAGTAAAAACAATCCTAATGGTATAAAGAACTCCATAAATCTGTTGAGGCAACATGCCTTAAAAGTAAAAATAGATTTATAAGGAAGTAAACCATGAACGATTCATACTGAGATAAAAATTATAAAAAAATAACTAGAAAATTTACTAAACACGAAAATGCCGAAAAAGATAATTGGGGTGGTTTTAATAATATTCACAACAGAGTAGAAATAACCGAGGAGTGATTTGAAAGAATAAATTCCGTAAGCTTAAAAGAAACTTATTCGGAAAACATTCAGCAAGAAGTAATTAACTTTATTGACAATGAAATAGCTCCGAAAGCCGAGGCTGATGTAAAAGGAGAAATTGGAGAAAAAGGAGTTTGAATGGAATTGCTTTTTAACTGGTTAAAACAGCAAGCATTAGAAAAAATAGCAAAGGCTCTTGAATATTTGTTAGAAAAAAGAATAGATTGAGCGATTGATGGAGCCAAATTTGCTTTGGAAAGATTACAAGACTTTTTATTCGATAAATATCAAGTTTCTTCGGACAACAAGCAAAAAGAAATCTTTAAACAAAAAATTTTAGAGAAATTTCCGGATAGTGGATTAGCTGATAAGTTGAGGAACGAGCAATAAAATGACAAATACAGATAACAAGCAAATCTTTAAATTTCAATGCTCGGTCAACGATGCTGACCATTGACATAAAATCGCAGTTTTGTATCCATGGGGAGAACACAAATTAACAGAAAAACATTGCGTGGCTACTTATGTACCAGAGGACAAATTCCAAAAATATTTAAAGTTAAAGATAGAGGCTGAAAAAAATGAATAAGCGAATATTAAGGAGCGAAGAAAATGTTTAGAAAGCATTACGAATTGAATTTTCCTGATTATGAATTGTTTAAAAAAACTTGAATCGAACGAGGAAAAAATTCAGATTTAAATCTGCCCTTTCCTAATTTTACTTTTGAAATAAAAGAACCAAATATAGGATTAACTGTTGATTTGCTCCCAATTAGTGGAGGAAAAATAGAAAGTTTTCAATTTGTAGAAACTTTGGCAGATATAAAAGACGCTCCTTTGCCTGTTCGTAATGAGTTAGTAAAAAGTAAGTTTTTTAATGTTATGCTTGCTGTCGAGCGAGCATATTATAAACTTGAACTAGAAAAAAATAAACAAGAATTAGGAGATAAGTTTAATTTGGAGAATTGGAATGATTGGTGAACAGGAGAAAGAAAAAAAATAGAGCAATTTAAATTTAATAGGGAGGAAATGAATGGATAAAAAAGAATTACAAAAAAAATCATATCCAGAATAAGTGAACAAAAGCGAAATAGAAGCTGAAAATAAAGAATTCGAAGCCTACCATAGAGAAATAGAAATTTGAAAAGAACAAGAAAATCATAAGCAATGAGCGAGAGCAATAATTTTTCAAGCAGAACAAAAATCCTAAATTCTGATTTAGCAGACACTTATTTAGAAATAAAACGAGCTGAATTGCTTTTGAAGCAAAATGAAATCTATCTTGCTGTTAGGAGTAAGGAAAAAGATGAATAAGCAAATCGAAAACAAAAAAATCATTTTTAGTTGCCCTAAGTATGGCGAAATTTCCATAGAGCAGACAAAAGGCGAATTACGAGTAAAACAAACTTACTTCTGCGAAGAGAAAAATTTGGGTTTTGTTCGCTCTATTACCGATGGTTGAATGATCGATGGTAATGAATGAGCGAAAGGATTAGACGAATTTGAAAGTTGGTGTCAAAATAGAGAGAAAAATAATGAAAACTAGACAATTAACCCCTTACGCTCATTACCAAAACACCGAAGAATGAGCCATTATTGAGCGTTTATTAAATGAATTAATGACTAACCAAGATATCGAACTAAAAACTGCTCCGGAATATGTCATTGGTTATATTGTGCGAGAGTTAAGGAATAAGGACTTTTCATTAGGAAATAAAAAAATATGATAACAACAAATATTTCCAAGAATGACAAAAAGCTTGGGCTATATATCGTCTTAAAGTTTTAAGAACTTTTGCCTGAAAAACCAACAAATTCACGCTAACAAGTGTGTAAAATACTTATAGAATATGAATAAACATTTAAAATGAGTTAGAGAAGCGGAAGAAAAAATTAAAAAAAATAATTTAAACTTGCCACCCGCCGAGCAACGTTTTTTTAATGCTTTTAAAGCCCTAATAGAGTGAAAAGAACGAAAACCTTTGTTAGTTAAAGAGTGCGGTCAAGAATTCTATTGAAGAATATATTTTAATTTAGATGAAGAAATTTCTTTGGCTAATCAAAATTGTTTGAAACTTTCTTCTAAATAAAAAAAACAGAAAAAGAACAAAAGCAATTCATTGGAATAGTAAGTAATCATATTTGTTCTGCCAAAGCCGTATAAAGATACAAACAAAGTGTAAAATGTGTAAAATATAATATATGAAAGGAAGTAAACCAAATGAACAACGAAAATAGTTCAAACACAACTGCAAATACAGCAGAAAGTAATCAAAACCAAACGCAACAGCAACAAAATGCTGGACAAGAACAAATAGATAGACAAGTAAAAACTGAAACTTCTTCTAAAACTGTTATTGTTGATGATACTAATTGAAGAGAACACTTAAAACTTTATTCTGAAAAAGAGCAAAAGTGAATTGAAAAAGAACGACAATTAAATAAGATTATTGAAGAACAAGATGCTAAATTAGTTGGTTATCGTGATATTGGGCTTTTATCCATGCATGGTTTTGACCCTCGAGAGCATGAAGATATTAGAGCACTTTGCGGAGGTAAAATTACCGAGGAAAAATTAATTCAGTTAAAAGGCAAAAGGCAATATGCTTTTCTTCTAGATAAAAGGGCTAATCAGCAAGCCCAAAGAAATGAAAATAAAGACAATGGGCTTTTTGCTAGTTTTATTGAGGAAGGATATTAATAGACCATGCCAGTAACAACAGATAGAAATTTCATATTAGAAAATTTAAATGATAAAGAAGTTTGAGTAAGGTTTGATAAATTAACTGAACATCATATTGCTAAAAAAATAACTCCTTATTTAGACAACGGAAGAATTGAAGGAGGTGTAGCCATATACGGTAGTGCTGAACTAGGTGGAGGATACGAACCTAAATCGGGCGGTCTGTCTTATGACCAAAAAAGGGCTTTAACTAGTTCTCCTACTCACGCGGAAAGATTTAAATTAAAACGCTTTACTTCCGTAGAAGTTCTTGGTGAAGAAATTATGGGTATGGCATTAGGAAAAGAACGAGATGCTGCCATTGAGATAAAACTTAAAAATCTATCTCTTACTTTAACCGATAAAATGTATGAAGAGTTTATGGAGGAATTAACTCGGTATGAAGAGACCAGTGGACAAATTGAATATCCCGAAGGAACTTATTATTATGGTGAAGGCGAAATTCCTCAAAAACATATTAATAAATCATCCTCAGCAACAAATTTAACTCCCAAAGAATACGATGAACGAGTTGGTAAATTCGAAGATAGTTTAAAAAAATCCACTTATTCTCCTGACCAAATTATTAAGTTTGATTTACTAGATGAAAAAATTACTCAAAAAGATTTAGCTCGAAAATTAACTCAGTTGATTGCTTGCTGTGTAGAAGGAAAGATCACTTATAAAGACAAAAGCACAACAGTTACTAAAAGAAATACCCGAGCAGGAAATAAAGCCTATTGTGATCTTAAATCAGTTTTATTATTTGTAGATTGGTCAATTGAATCAGATGTAAACTTAGTTTTGAAATCTCCAATGGTTAGTTTTAATATACTTAATAAAGTATTAGACATTATTCCTTGCACTTTGGCAAATAATTTTCAAGTAATAGCAGTTAGTGGAGGAAAAGAAACAAAAACTATCAAAAAAACTACTGGAATTATGAAAATTAAAAAAGATGAACCAGCTGATAGTTTAAGAGTAGAAATTCACAAACACGACCAATATCATATTGGTTTGTCTTCGAGATGTCCGCTAGTTGCTATCGCTAATATTTAATAAAATTATGGCAAAAGGTTATTATTCTCATTTAGAATTTCTTACTTGGGGCATGTCTCCTTCTGCTCCAAAAGGAAGTGCCATCGACTTACAAAATAAATTAAATGAAATTGCCAAGGCACTCCCAAATATTTTTACTACGGCAGGAGATACTTCGACCGCTATAGAAAACACTAATTTAACTAATGTTGGAAATGCTGCCACTAATTTAACAACAGTAACTGGCGAGCGCGATAAAGCCCTTGACGAAGCAAAAAAATTAAAAGCTTGAAAAGACAACGAAGCTCTTTTATTACAAATGCTTGATGAAAGAAAAATAGCTTTGGAGGGTCTTAAAAAAAGTGATTCAACAAATGCTAATAAGTATCAAACTGAAATTAATGAGATTAATAAATTACTTGGGGAAGTAACCGGTCTAACAGACGAAAAGAAAAAGTTTGAAAAAGAAATTGAAGATTGGTTGAAAAAATATTCGCATGGTGGTTCCGAGCCTCTTTTTGGCAGTTCCTTTAATGCCTCGAATGTAGCAGAAACAATTTCAGGTGGAAACGGAACTGATGGTCAACATTGGGGAGATAAAGACCGAAAAGGAGCCTCAGGACATACTTGAAAAGATTATTTAGGAGCAGCAAATAGACTTGGTTCTGGTGGCTCTGATTCTTATGGTCTTGACGAAGTTAAATCTAACATCCAAATAGGAATGTTAGAAGCAGTTTTCCCCGAAGTGTTGCGGCAGTTTCACGCCCGAGTTATTAAGAAACAGGACGTAGAAAAGTTTATGAATGATAATCCTAATACTGCCTTTTGGGATAATAAAATCAGTAATCCAAAATCTTCAAGCGAAATAAAAAAAATAGATACTTCTCATGGCACTAAATATGATAAAAAGGTACCAAAAGATATTGTTAATAACATAAAACCACTTAAAAAATTAGTTAGTGATTGAAATAATGTTTTAACTGAAATTAGCAACTTCTTTACTACTAAAAAACCAACTACTTTAAAGGACATTAAAGACTTTTTGAATGAGGAAAATTACCCCGACCCTCTCGATAAAGTAAATTTGGATGGTAAAAGCGATAAAGACCTAAAAACAACATTTGCCGGCAAAGAAGAAGCCTCAGTTAATAGCGAATTAGCCAAAACTACTGATTCTGCTAAAAAATATCAAGCATATACTGCTTTACAAAGCACTGGGAATGGCAACTGTTTCTTAAATTCTTTCTCTATTTTACTAAATGGTGATGAAGCTTTGGCTACCCGATTGCGAGCTAAATTATGTTTAGAATTAATGAGCGGTAATTGAGTAGATGGCAGTGAAGCCGATAAAGTTCAAGAAATCACCGAAAAATTAACTAACCGAACTATTGAAGGTCAAGCTTGTTCTTTAACTAAAACTGGTGATTGACTGGCTGGCGATGATATTGCTTATATGTGTGGTATTTTGAGCCGACCAATTACTTTAATTTATAAACCAGATACTACTAATTGAAATCAAAGCAAAGATTCTTATAAGGAAGTTGTTAAAACTGGTGGTTTTGCGATAGTGGAATATCCAGTAAAAGGTGCTAATCCTTTTGGTAAACTTTCTATTACTGGTATAACGACTACAAAATCCCCCGAATATGTGATTTATCATGTTAACGATAATCATTTTGTTCCTTTAATTAAGAAATAAAAATTAAAATGGTAAATATTGATCCAAGAAGAGCAAAAATTTCTGATAAAATTAATCAGTGAGCCGAAGATTATCACACTGGATATTTTGTTCTAAGAGGAAATAATCCTTTAATCAAAAATTCGCTTTGAACTCGCTCGCAAAGAGTTTCGACTACTGAAGGAAAGGGAGTAATTGTAAGGAAGCCAAATAAAGGAGGAGAAGGCTATTTATTTTTATTAGGAACTTTATCTGATATTGAATATGATAGCCTAGAAGAAAATGGCACTCCTTATAAAAAAGCAACTGTAACTTATATTACAAGAACCGGAGAAGAAGACTTTAACGAAGACTTATTGGAAGAAAATGACCCTAAAGACTTTGTGGTTTTTAGCAATAATGATAAATGGGAGCCGGAATTACAACTTAATCGAACTCAACTTGATTATTTAGACCAAATTTATAAAACCATGATTGTTGACTTAAAACGCAGTTTGCCACGTTTTGTCACCAAGAGCCGAAAAATATTAACAGCTCCGCAGAAAAAAGCTATTAGGCAAGCATGAGAAACTTATGAACCAATTATCTTTTTTTCTTTAGACGACAATTTACCTTTGGAACCGAATGGCACTGACCAATGAAATCCAACCAGTCGCTTTGCTGAATACAAAGCAATGTGAGATTTACATTATAGTGTATTTCGTCGTCTAAATGGCATTAAACATAATACTGCCAAAAAAGAAGAAAGACAAAATAATCCCGAAATTGAATTAAACGAAGACCAATTTGAAAATCCCGAAAATATCCGCTTACAAGAAAGAATTAGTTTTTTAACCGAATTTTATGAAAAATTTGGTGGCGAAAGTTATATTTTAGAACTCGATGGCAAAATAGTTTTCCAAACTGGTGATAAATTTAAAGAGGAAGAAAATCAAAAACAACAAAATCAGGAAAAAGAAAAAGTTAGAGCAACCGACCAAAAAGAAGAAAAACCAAAATCAGAAAAATCCGAAGAGCAGAATTTTAGGAAAGAGAAAATTTTATATCGAGATAGAATTTAATTTCGCCCACTGTTTTTTTGCCAAAATTGCTAGTATTTATTTCTTTTAACTTCTTATCCATAACTTTTAACCATTTATTCTTATTAAGTGATTAGTAGATATATCTTTTTAGTTTTCTTATCACATAATTAGTCATTTTGTTAAAATTAATAATAATGAACGAAGAAGATAAAAACAAAAAGGACAAAAAAGAAATTAAAAAAAAGCGGTGTGCTAAATGCTACGAAAGTTTTCCTAAAGAGGAATTAATTATGGATAATGGTTATCGGCGTTGTATGCCTTGTAATGTAAGTAATACTAAACAAACTTCTATAATTGTGGGTGTTGTGTTCGCATTTATGGTTTTTGTCCTATTAATACTTTGGTGGTGAAGCAACAAGATTTGCAAGGAAATTGATAAGAAATATGGAGAATAGATATGAATAAAAAACCTTTGACCATTCTCCCCACCAACCAGCTCCTCCAACAAATTTGAGATTATATTATTAGCCGCCCAGGAAAAAAAGGAGAATACAAAAAAGCAGAAAACGAATGCTTATTTTTACTTTGTTGAAAAGCCGGATTAAGAATCACCGAAGCAATTGGTTTTGACTTGAATTTAGAACACCAGTCGCTAGAATATAAAGGATTATATTTGCTTCGCGGTAAAAGGCAGAAAGATAGGTGAGTTTATGTTTCTCCGGAAATCATTAAAGAACTTAAAAAAAGAAACTGACAGCCTAATTCAGTTAATCGCTTTAACTTTTTTCAATTTCTTAAACAAGTCAAAAAAGAATTAAATATCCAAAGCAACATTGAACTAGCCCCCCATACTTTAAGGAGATGCTTTGCCACTTATAATGCTTTAAATGGCATGCCTCTGCCAGTTTTACAGAAAGTTTTAGGGCATACGCGAATATCTACTACTGCTTTATATATTAAAGATAGTGATTTAAGTAATTTGGTGAAGTTTAAGCCGATTTAATTATTATTAGGCTTCTGTTGGATTTATTGCTTTTCTTTCTTCTTTTTCAAGCGAGTAATTTATTCTTTCTTTAATTTGGTTAGCTTCTGCTATTGCTTTCAACGAATATCCTTGTTGTATCATTAATTCTCCTATTGCTTCTAATTCCGCCGGGTGGGTTCCTTTTTCTAAATCTTTTAATTCAAGTTTAACGAGAAATTGTTTTAATTGTTTAATATCCATATACTTATTTTTAAGCATTATATTCAATTATTGTGAACTACCCTCACCTAATAAAGGTGGAGGCTTCTAAAAAGAATTCTCGGTTCTACCCAGCCTCTAATGAGACTAGTCCCCAAAGGTCGGTCCCCAACCCTTCTGCTCTCTTTAATATATTGCGAGCAGCATTAATATCTCTATTTTCTTTATAGCCGCAAGAACACTTATGAATTCTAGTGCTTAATTTCTTTGGAACTAATTCACCACATTCACTACATAATTGGCTCGTGTTCTTGGGGTCTACTTCAATTAACCTTTTCCCAGTTTCTTCCACTTTGGAAAAGAGCATGTTGAGAAATAACTTTCACCCAGCATCGTTAATGCTTTTTGCCAAGTATTTATTTTTTACCATGTTTTTAACTTGTAATTTCTCGCAGGCAATCAAGTCATAGTCTTTTACTAATTCTCGGCTTAATTTATGGGCTAAATCTTTTCTTTGGTTAGCCACTTTCTCATGCTTAATGGCTAATATTTTCACGGCTTTTTGTCTTCGTTTACTTTTCTTAATTCTCCGGCTTACTTTTCTTTGAGTCTTGGCTAATTCTTTTTCGGCTTTTCTGTATGTTTTTGGTGCTTCTTTCAATTCTCCATTAGAGGTAGCCAAAAAAGAAGTTAGACCCAAATCAATACCAATTTTTTTACCTGTCTTGGGTAATGGATTTGTTTCTACTTCGCAAGAAAAGCAAACATAATATTTACCATTCTTAACTAAAATGGAGCAAGTTTTTATTTGCTCTTGCGGTGGTAATTCTCGGTGTTTTCTAATATTAACCCAACCAATATTGCTTAACTTTACTTGGCTTTTAATCAACTTAAAGCCATGTTGAGGGTAGGTAAAACTATCATATCTCCCAAAAGATTTGAACCTTGGATAACCTGCTTTTGCTGTTGGGTCTTTTAGTCGACGAAAGAAGGCTTGGAAATTCTTGTGAATTCTCCGAACTATGTCTTGTAAGATTTGAGAAAATACTTGGTTGAGAAAAGGATTAGTTTCTTTTTTAGCCAGTAAAGAATTAATTTGCTCGAAGCAAGTGATTTTTCTTTGCTCTTTTTCCCAAGCCTCTTTTCTTTCGGCTAAACAGTCATTATAGAGTATCCGGCAAGTTTCAAGGGTTTGGTTAATTTTCTCTTTTTGTTTCTGGCTCGGATATAACCGAACTTTATAAGTTTTTTTCATAGCGATTTCGTTAGAGTTTAATACTCAATCAGCAAGCCAATCCGAAATCGCTACAACTCTAATTGGCTAACTGGTTCAATAAGAAACTATATTATAATTTTAGTGTTTTTGTTGCAATTCATCCCCTGCTTATAGAAGTGGGAGTATTCTTGCTAAAAATATATTATAAAAATATTAACAAATTATTAAAATTATAATATATGGAAACAGAAACAATTAATCAGTTAGAAGCAGAGTTAGAGCAAGCTTACCGAGAATCTTGGAACAATCCTCAACAAATGACTGAATTGCAGAAATGGGAAAAGTTGGCTTTGGCTAAATGACAAAAATCAGAGAGAGAGAGAGGGAGGGAGGAAAAATAAATAAAATTATGGAAACAGCAACAATAATATATATTTTAGCAATAATAGGACTTACAGCGGGCATTATTAGTCTGCTTATAAGTCTATGGAGCTATAAGAAACAAAAGGAAAAATACGAGCAAATTATTAAGGAAAAAGATAAACGAATAGAATTATTATTAAAAAAAGGTGAAAAGAAAAAAGATGAGGAGCCTTGATTTACCAAAGACAAATTAATTTAAAACTACTGAAAGGAATTTAATATGAATAAGCAAAAAAAATATTTAAATAGCAAAAAAGACTTGGTCAAGGAAAATATGGACTTGAAAATAGAAAATCAAGTAATTAAAAAGCAATTAGTTGCTATCCGGGACATGCTAAATAATATCCTTGACGAGGCAGAAAATAAAGAAGAATTAATTATTAAATATATCAAAAAATATTATGCTGGATTAGAAAATTTAAAAAAGTGTATTAATTGTCAAAAAATAGGGAATTGAAAAGAAAGTTTTTGTGCTGATTGTTTTTTAACTAAGGAAAAAGGATTAGAGCAAGATTATCAAGAATGCTATGCTGGTAAAGAAAATCCATATTTAACAAAAAATATCAAAGGGACAAACAAAAATAATTCAAAGCAGGAAGCAAAAGCCAAAGAAACTAAATTAGTGGAAGAAACACAAAATAAGGAGGGAGAAAAATAAATGAAAACCATAGCAATCATTAACCAAAAAGGCGGAGTAGGAAAAAGCACTATTGCGGTCAATTTAGCCTACGAATTAGCCAAAAGTAAAAAAACTTTATTAATTGACCTTGACCCGCAAGCTCATTCTTGCCAAATTTACCAAAGCCAAGAAATAAAAACGACTATTAAAGACTTATTTCTTAATCCTCGCGAGAATATTCAAAAAGCAATTAATCCCGCCCAAATTAAAGACCAGACTATAAATAATTTAGATATCATTGCGAGCAATATCCAACTAGCCAAAGCCACTGAAAGAATTAATAACATTTACCGAGAAAGAATTCTCGCTAAGCATTTAAGTAGAATTCAGAGTAATTATGAATATTGTTTATTAGATTGTCCTCCTAATTTAGGAATAATTACCATTAATGCTTTATACGCCTGCGACTATTTTTTAATTCCGGTAACGGCTGATAAAGGAGCCTTGGACGGCATGGCCGATTTATTAGAAACCGCCGAGGAAGTAAAAGAAACTACGCAGTTTAATTATTTTATTTTAAGAAACAATATTGATATCAGAAACAAACAAACTAATCTTTATTTAAATAATGAATTAAGTGCTTATGAGAAACAATTGCTAGATACTATTATTTGCCGGGCAGAAGTAGTTAATCAAGCCAGAATAGCCCAAGAACCTTTACAAGTTTTCGCTCCTCAAAGTAAATCAGTAGAGGAGTATCAGCAATTAGTTAAAGAGCTGATTATTAAAAAAATATTAAAATTATAATAAAAAGTTAATAAAAATATAATATATGAACATTAAAGAACCAAATAAAATAATAACCAGTCTCTACGACCAATTCAAAGACACCCCTAAGAAGTTAAAGATTGTTTGTGATTGAGACGAAGTAATTCAGGCTCATGAGTCTTATGCTTTTTGGAGTGCTGAAAAGTTTGTTGCTAAAAACAGAAAGTTTGCTACTAGTGTTTGATTTTCATCCTTTTCTAAATATTTTAAATTGTTTTGAGAACAAGATATAATTAATTACACTCCTTATGGCTCCAAAATCAAACCAAAGGATAGGGAAGTGGCAGAAGAATATGAAGAGTTTAAAAACTCCCCTAACTTTTACCAAGAAGCACCCTTTCTAACCATAGCAGAAGACTTGTTAAAGTTAATAAAAGAGGGTAAAGTGGAAGATTTAACTTTTTTAACTGCCAACGATGATAGAACATTTCCAGAAGGAGACAACAGAAAAAAAGTAATATTTAGTGAAACCTTTGGCAAACTTGGTAAATATTTAGGTTCTTTGCGGATGAAGTTATTAGGTTTTGACAGTGAAACCCAAGGACAAACCAAAGCTGATTGAATTAAAGAAAACGCTTCTGACTTTGATTTAGTGATAGATGATAATCCGAATATTTGTAATAGCTTGGTAGCAAATTGATTTTGTAAGAAATGTATTAATAGACAAAAGAAATGGTTTGAGGAAAACAAAGGAAAATCTGCTTTTTTTGTGCCTTGTGAAAATTGTATCCCAATGAGAACAGTTGTTGCTCCTTATTATCCAGCAATATCCAAAGTAGCCACTGGTGTTCAAGAGGGTTATTATAGCAATGTTTTGTTTATTAAGCAAGAAGTTAGTAATTTGACTAAGGAGGATTTTAAATAGAATATGAATAACCAAGAATTATTATTTAATTTATTAAAGAAATTAGAAAGTGGAGAATTGAATATTTATATAGGTGAAGATTGAAATGATTGAGATAAAAATAAAGGAGAAGCGGGAGGATTATATTTAGAGGATGTAAATACTAAGGAAAAGATATACTTAGTTAGCACCTGAACTCAACAAAACGATTTTTATTGTGAAAGGGTTAAAAAAGAATGAGAAAAAGTGAATGACAAATTCAAAGAAAACTTCTACAAAGAAAAAGGTTTAGATAAATGTTGGGTTAAAGACTGCCCTAATAAAATCTACCAAAATGAAAATGATTATAAAAAAGTTAAAATTCCTTGCCAAGATAAGCACACTAGATATGTTTGTGTAGATTGCTCCAACAAAGTAAATTTAAAAAAAACCGCAGCCGAAGAACCTCATACGTGCGAAAAATGTGGTGGCTGAACCGATGGGGACAGCTGCCATTGTAATTGTATTGGAGAAAAAGGAGGAAACGAATAAAATGTCAATAATAAAAACTAAATCTTACCAATATTATCTAAAAACTAACAAAACTAATAAAAAGCAATTAGATAAAATTCTTTTTGGTTGTAATTTTCTTTATAACGAACTTTTAAAAGAAAAGATTAAAAGAAATAAAAATAAGCAAAAGCAACCAACACGAAACGAACAATCTAAATTTTTAACTCAATTACGGAAAGAAGTTTCTTGCTTAAAAGCAATTAATAGGCAAATCCTCAATGAAATAATAACGAGAACTAACCAAATCTGAGAAAACCACGAAAGAAACAAAAAACTAGAATTAGCAAAAGGTTATCCAAGAATTAAGCAAGCTAATAAATACAATTCTTTTACTTATCCTTTTGGTGATAGAGATTGAAAGTTAGAAGATAATAAGTTGTTTCTTTCACAAGGGAGAAAAGGAAATAAAGGGAAAGAAAGAAATTCAGAAAAAATAATAGCCAAAATCATTCTCCATCGTCCAATTGAAGGAGAAATAAAAAACTTAACTTTAACTAAGAAAAACGAAAGATGATACGCTTCTTTCGTTAGTAAAATAGAAATTAAGGAAAGAATGTCAACCGGTAAATATGTTGGTATGGATTTAAACTTAAAAAAAGATGCTTTTTGTGTTCTTTCAGATGGAACAAGATTTATGCATCCTCAAAATCATAAAAAGAACGAGCAAAAACTAATTAAATCTCAACAAATTTTAAATAGAAAACAAAAAGGAAGTAAAAACCGAGAAAAAGCAAGATTAATCCATGCTAAAAAGTGAGAGAAGGTTGTTAATCAAAACAAATATACTTACCATTTAATGGCTAATGATTTCAGGCAATATGACGGCATAGCAAGAGAAAACTTAAAAATCCCTAGCATGCTTAAAAACAGAAGACTAGCAAAAGCAATATTCAGAGTTAGTTGAGGAGCATTTAACAAAATCCTTGGCGACAGAGTGGAAGATACTGGTCGCCAATTGGTTAAAGTTTCTCCTTACAATACTACGCAAAAATGTTCGGGTTGTGGTGAAATAGCCAAAGATAAGGTTAAATTATCCCAAAGAATATTTAAGTGTTGAAACTGTAAACTTGAACTAAATAGAGATATAAATTCAGCAAGGAATATTTTAGATAAAGCCATTGTTGAAAATAGGTTCGGTGTGAGCCTGTATCAAAAAGCAAACGGTATCGCTTGGAGGTGCGAAGTATAGAAATATATGACTACCAAATTACAAAAAAAAGCCCAAAGCAGCAAACTTAATATCACTAAACAAAAAAAAGATAAAGTAATCAATATTAAATGCAAAAATTCTCAGGACATTTGGTCTTTTGCTTTAAGCAAAACCAGTAGTAGTGATTTACAAGAATTATTAGAAAAAATTAACACTTTAACTCAAAGGAAAGTAAATGCTAGTCAATTAATTAGAGCCTTAATTTATCTAGGTAAAGAAAGCAAGGAGGAAAAATTACTCAAAGCTTTAAAAGAGGTTTCAATTTAAAGGAGATTATATGAAAGGTTGATTATTAGTTGACCGGGATTATTTAAGAATCCCCACGCGAAATAAAGCTCCAATTCGCAGAGATTGAAGTATTCCGGTTAATCGTTATTATAAAGAGCCAAAAACTACTTTACAATTACTAAATGAATATAAAGAATACGGAGTTAGATTAGGCTTATTTGTCAAAAAAGAATACCATTTAGGGGCTTTGATTTTTAGAAAACCAAATGACAATTTAGACTGAAAGAAGTATTTTGCGGATTTGTTTCCCGAAGTAAGTTATACAGAAACCGAAAAAGGATTATATTACTGGATTTTAATTAAAGAATTGCCGCCCAATGGCACTTTAAAAAACTTTGATGGGGAAAATTTAGGAGATTTTTACGGCAGCGGTAAATTAGTAGTGGGAGCCGGTAGCAGAGTTGGTAATTTTTGTTATCAATGAGTAAAAAGAAAAGTTAGTCATTTACTTTTGAATACTTGGCAAGAGTTGCGAGAACGCTTAACACAAAAACAACTTAATTTGGTAATTCGCGGAGAAGTAGGATGGAGTGAAAAACAAAATGAATGAGTTTGTCCTCGTAAACTAGATTCAAGGTGGAAGCGAAGAAATTTTGAACTAGTGAGGAGAAAGAAAGCAAAGAAAAAGAAAACAAGCCTAGCCCCTTGAAAAAAGTGCTTAACTTGCCAAGTAAGATATAAGTATAAAGACAAGCATTTGTTAAAATGCTCGGTAAAGGAAAAAATTAGGTGCTACCAGTGCCACCGGAAAATGAGCGCAAGCAGGTTAAGCGGGCATGTTAGCGAATATCATAAAAATAAATTATTATGGTAAAAGATAAAGACTTACACCCTATCCACCCTGGCGAAATCTTGCGGGAGGAATTATTAAAAACTTATCAGATTACTCCACAACAATTAGCCCAACACCTTAAAGTTGAGGAGAATGTCATTGAAGAGTTAATTCAAGAAAAAACTAGTTTAACCGTAGATTTAGCTTATCGACTTTATTATTTTTTTGGAGTTAGTGCCGAATATTGGCTTAATTTCCAAAGAAACTATGATTTAGAAACTTATCAAGAAAAAGAAAACTTGAAAAAGCAAATTAAACCTTATCCAAGAAAAGAGCAAAATATTTAAAATTTTTATATTACCAATATCACTAAACTTAAATCAAAAACTAAAAAATCTTGGGAAAATATCAAGCCCAGTTTATCCGTAAATTGTCTACTTTGTAAATTTCCCTTTAAAGTCAAGTATAACCTTTTAAAAAAACGCTATTCTTTAAAAAATAATTGAGGTTATTGAACCGGCAAAGAAGAAAACAAAAACGATTATTTTTGTAATACTTGCTTATTGAAACTCTACCAGGGAAATATTAATAGTTGAATAGAAGATAAAGACCGGGCTAATGTTTTTTATAATTATGTGAAGCGAGGACAGTTTGGAAAGAAAAAATAAAACCATATCACGGTTATAGTTTTCTCTATTTAGATTATATCACTCGTGCGGGTTTATAAGTAATAATTAAGAATGCTAACTGAATAAAAAATAGTAAAAAAACTATCACGGAAAATTAAAAAAAATTAATTTGTTGCTAAAATAATATATATGAAAGGAAGTAAACCAAAATGAATACAGAAATAGACCGAATGAAACAATCACTCGAAAGAGAAATAGAAAGATTAAAAGTAATTAATGAGGAACTAGATCCACAAATTAAAGAGAACGGTAAAAAACTTACCACCCTCCAAAGTGAACACGAAGTCCTTAAAGACGAAGTGAAACAGCTAAAAACTGGCTATGGTGGGGACGATAAATCCTACAAAGAATATTTAAAGCAATTAAGAATCTTTGATAAGTTTAGATTTTTAAGGCAAAAAGGCACTACTCAATTGCCCAATAGATTTGCCCAAGTAACCATTGGGGGTAATAACTATTTAGCTGACCGGGCAATGCCAAGAGTGTTTTTAAGAGCATTCTTAACTACTTTGGTGAATTTTGATGCTCCGGAAGCGACGAAAATCACCAACGCTTTTAATAACCGCACCGGAAACCAAGCCTTAGTTGCCAACACGGACGGAGCTAATCCGACCAAGTTTTCAGCCGATTGAGTAGTCCAAGAATGGAAAAAGTACCGCGACTACTTTGAAAAAATGATTGCCGTGGGTAAAGAAAGCGAGATTGTCCAAAAAGCCGAAGTAGTAATGCCTAGTGCTATTCCCGTGCGAAATGTGGCTAATTACATTGCTGCTAATCCTAATAACCGCTCCCATGTTGACGCAATTTTATTTGGCAGTGAAAGTTTTATCCCTTACTGGCAACAAGTTCACGTTAAAGACAGCACTCATGTCTACGCTGACATTAACGAAAAAGATTTATTAGAGTTCTGCGAATTCTTGTTCCCCTCTAACCTGGCTACTAACAATAACCAATTAATTAGTTTACAAACCGGACAAATTGCCGGGACAGCTAATGATTACCGTTTAACCAGTGGTGCCAATAATTATGATTTACACAGCAAAGATTATAAGAATTTAACTTTATTCCCGCTTTACGAAACTTCTACCACCGAAGTAAAGAAATTTAATAAAACGCACGATCTAGATAAAGGTTATAGCGATTTCGAATGAAAGTTCAAAGAAGGAACAACGGAAAAATGAATCGCCAAACGCTACGCTCACGAATTTAAGAACGAAACCACCAACAATTTAAACAATTTCGAGGGCGTAGTTAAATTATTTAACGAAGTATTTAAACCCCTCAATACGCAAATTAGGCAATGAGTAGAGGACGCTAACGACGCTGATGCTGATAAATCCTCCGCCTTATACGCTTTGGCTCACAACTATCCTTTAAGCAAAGATAAATTAATTGACGGCACTAACCTTATTCCCCAAAGCGAACCCAACAGCGAAGAATACTTAAAGAAAAAAGCCGAGTTAGACGCGAAAAAGCTAGAATTAGACGAAGTCCAAGCAAAATACGACGTTGACCTATCTGACCACAATGCTAACAACCAACGCATTAAAGAGTTAGAAAAAGAATTAGGCAAATACACCAAGAAAGATAAAAACGCTCTGCACGCGAAATTAAAAAGGGTTCAGAACCAAATTGAAGCCACCTATGACGCTACTAACCAGAAGTGAAAAACCAAAACTTCGCAAAAGCACACTTGGGAATTTTGAAGCAACTTTGTGATTGATTATGACGATTACCTGGAATTATTAGGCACGGACGAAACCAAGTGAACCGACCAAGAAAAAGAGTTAATTAATACCAAGTTAAAACCCGGCACTCATAAATATTTCAAAGAAGTAATCCAAAAGCATTATAATGACCTAACGGCTAATTATCACAAGTATATTACCAACAAAATTCCGAACGATAAATCCCCTAAACAATTCCTAGAAGAGTGAATTAAGGACAAAAACAACGGCAAAAATGCCGAAAAGATTGTCCAAGACCTGGAAGCCTTAAAAAGCTACGTTAACCTTGAAAATGATTACCTGGGAGAAGTTTTAAAGAAAATCAACAAAAGTGAACTAATTCGCACCGATTTAGAAGGGGCTTTACGCCGAGTGCTTGGCGAGAGTGATTACCAATCAACCATCAAAAATAAATGAGCGAAAACTGACTACGCCAAGGACGATAAGTTTTGAAAACTAGTCAAAGACTTTTATTTAAAAACCGACCAAGACTGAAAAGACCACGTCAAAGCCAATCACGGAGTTCACAATAATTTGAAAGATTGATTGAAGGATAAGGATTTAGATATTGAGCAATTTATTGCCACTATTCGCCTTTACCAAATTCAGCAATACGTCAATTATACCCCTGACCAAAGACAAGAAACCAGAGAGAAAAAAGGAGCCGAAATGCTCAACTGATTTATGGAAGTAGATAAACTCGGCTATTCTTACCAGGATATCGTTTCCAGCACTAACGCTGATTTCACTGCCCAAAAAGCCTACGAAGAACTGAAAAAGAAAATCTTGGGCAGTATTGACGAGACCCTCGGTCTAAACAAAGATACGGACAGCGAAACCATTAGTAAATGGGTTAACTTTAAGGAATACAACACTAGCGAAAAGATTGAGGCTTTATTGAAAGACCTTTACGAAGCCACTCCGGAACCCAGCAAAGAGGGCGAGCAACCAGCCGGGAAAAAAATCAAAGCCGAATTCTTAACTTTCATTGGCAAGCCCACTCTCCAAGAATTCCTCAAGGAAAAGTCGCCCCAAGAAGTGGTCGCTACCATTCGGCGATTTGAGCTAAAAGACCTAACCGAAGAAGCCATTAAAGCCAAAGAACCCAAAGGCACTGAAAAAGAGTTTGAAGCCAACAAAGAGCAAATCAAAGCGGAACTAGAAACCATTCAAGCTAAACTAGAAGAGATTGAAAAAGTCGGACAAACCCTGACTGCCGAAGAAGGGAAAATTAAAACCGCGGTCGCCGCTCAATTGGCCCACCTTGCCACTTTAAAAGGTGAGGAAGCTCCTAAACCTAACATTGACGTTGGGGAAAAACCAAAAGCCGAAGAGAAAGAAACTACAACCAAAACCCAAGAACCCGCGAAAAAATTCCCCCAATGAGCTTATTGGGTAATCGGTGGGGTAGGTTTATTCGGCGGCTTAGCTCTCTTGGCTTATTTCCTCGGTTGATTTAGCAAAAAAGGCGAAGCCAGCACTGACGAAGGCAATCCCGAAGAAGAAGAAAATAAAGAATAAAGGCGAATAAGTCTATAGTGCTTATGAGGAATTGAATCGAACATCCTTACAAAAAATGCCTAGTTTGCCAGCGAGCATTATCCGCCAAAGCCGTAATGGGTGTAGGGATAAAATGTTGAGAAAAGAAAATTAAAGGTTGCTTTGCTCACGGCGAAACGCCTTTTTGGTGGGAAAAAAACGACTTATTCATTGAGTGTAAAAATTGTGCTTTGGCGACCAATGACAATGGCGTAAGACTAGTTTGAACCGAACGAAAAGCGAAAGATTACCAAGCCCATAAAAAGTATTGACAAGAATATTACCAACAGCACAAAAAGCCCAGTAAACCCCGAGAATTTCTCCGTTGTCTTGTTTGTGCCAAACTAATCAATGATAAGCGACACACCAACGCTAAATCTTGCTCACCAGACTGCTCAAAAGTCTTATTCAGAAGAGTTTTAAACCTCTACTACCAAAGAAACAAACCAAAGTTTACCGCAAAGTACCGAGCAAAAAGAGGAGCAAGCCAGTTAGGGCAAATTTCCGTCCCAAGAAAGGAGAGTCGATAAGATGGAAAATAGCGAATTAAAAACCTGAGGAATTTGACAAAGGATAGCAAGCATTCAGCACGAAATAGGAGACTTGGTAAAAGACGAAACCAACAAGTTTCAGAATTACAAGTATTTTGAGGAAAGCCAAATATTAAAGATATTAAAGCCACTCCTTAATAAATACCGGTTAAGCGTGGTAATTTGCGATGACGACACGCAACCACTTATCCACGAGCGGGAAGGCAACAACCACTTTTTAAAGTATATGAAAACCATGATAATAACTAATTTGGATAAGTCCGAAAAAGAAACTTTTAAATTTTGAGTGTGCGGTAGCAACCAAGAATTAGCCAAAGCCAAAGGTTCCGCGGAAACCTACGCCATGAAATATATCTTAAGCAAATTTTTCTTAATAAGAGTAATTGACGAGAACGACCCTGAACTGCTTAAACCAAACCGACCGGACAATAAACCCACCAACTCCCTCGCCAATGAGCGAGCAATCATCCAAGAAAAAGCCCTTTTAAAAGATGGTTGGTGGTATTGTAAAAGGTGCGACAATGATAAAGCCAAAGAACCCTTTAAACTCATTGAAAACCACCCTAAAATAAGAACAACCGAAATCATTAAAGCCTTAACCGAACACGGAGAAATCAAAGGAGAAAGTAAATAATATGGAAACACAAGAATTAAAAAAGCGAATAAGGAAATTAATAGATAATTACACAGACAAAAAAGAAAAGGCAACGCAAATCAACCAGCAATTATATAAGAAACTAGACGCAATAAAGGAGTTGGAAGCATTGGAGCGAATGCCCGAACATTTTTTAAAAGCCTATTTAATCTTTAAGCAGGCAGCATATAGCAATTATCAAGATAATTTTTTAGAGCAAGCACAATTCAACAACCCCGAGCAGTTAATTAAGAAATATAGCGAGGAAATTGGTCTAGTGGAGCAGGAGGAACAAAAACCCGAGCAACAACCAACTAACAAGCAATTATTAATAATGTTAGGAGAAAGAATTGCCGCAGGGGAAATTAAAAGAGACTGAGGGCAGGGCGAATGAGGAGAAGGAGGAGTTTGTACCCTTTGAATAGGAGAGGGAAAAAATGGAGGCTTTGGCGATGACAAAGACTGAAATGGAAATGTAATCGAAGCTAAGCGAAATAAAATTATTTTGAATTTAGAAACGGGCAAAATTGAACTCGAAGGAGACCGAGAGGAGTTTTAGAATATGGAAAATAAGAATAGATTTTGCGATGGCTGTGGCTTTGAAGCTGACAACGCCGAGCAAAGGAAAGACAATAAATGATTTTGTGGCAGATGCCAACCTAGTTATACTAGAAGACTAAAAAAACCCAATCCTAAATACTGTTCGGGTTGTGCTTTTCGGGAAGATGTTGCTGGACAAGGCTCTTTGGTTAAAAGAAAAGATGGTCATTATTGGCATATGCCTTGCTATAATTGCTCACAATATTACGATTAAAAAGTTATGGAAAATAGAGAATTGTTAATGAATTTAGTGGAAAAGTTAGAGAGCGGGGAATTGTCATTCTTGCCGACTCAATCCTCACTTACAGAAGACTTTTGTTTAATAGACAAGAAAACCAATCAGCAAATCAAATTAGGAAGCCGGGAAACAAAATTAGAAGGAGGTTGTTTTTTAGTAAAACCCTTGGTCTATAATGCTGATTGAAACCAAGAATTTAAAGCCAAAGGAGCAAAAAAGGAGGAAAGCCATGAATAAAGATTTAGAAAAACAAAAATTAGCCCAAGAAAACGAACAATTGAGAAAGCAAATCGCGGAATTATCTAAATTCAAGCACGAAAGCAATTGAAATATAAAGAAAAAATAAGTAAAAATCCTAATAACAATGACTAACCTAGACCAAACCAAAATAGATAACTACTCTGCGGAAATCAAAGACCAAAAATTTACTTGCGTTTTTTGTTGAGAAAGAAGAGATTATAAGCAAGATTATTGTTGCTCTACTATTATCAAGGACAAAAAAGTATTGTGTTGCTGGCTTTGCTATAAATTAGGCAAGGGGCAAGATTGGGAAAAAGAGGATTTTTAGCAAAAAATAAATTAAAGGAAGTAAACCAGCATGCCAACCGGAAAAAATTGTCCCAATTGTGGACGCTCGGGGTCGGGTAAATCTAATTTAATTACCAACCTTGATGAACTAACTCAATCTGTTTATTTAATTGAGGACGGGTATCTTTTCCGTAATCCTTATTGACACATGAAAATGCTTCCAGAACCGGAATACATGAAAGAGTTAATGGACGATTTACACCAAGAAGCAACTCCTAATCAAAAAGGCAGTTTTCCGGAATACCAAACTCAACATTTTAGACTTTACCAGTTTAGATTTATTTGGTTTTCATCCAGTCAAACCATCCTTTGCCGCTTACCTTACGCCGGAAGAAATTGATTTGAACAAGCAACTTTTTTCTTACCGCCAACTAACGAAGCTGAACCAGAATTTAACAATTTATCAATTAGTTTAGAAGCTCGTTGAATGGTCGCTGGTTATGCTTTTAACGAGGAAACCAAAAAATACGAAAGAAAGAAAGCCATTTATCACGAAGAAGTAAAACCAGCTGATTATATTTTACGACCTAATGAAAGTGTGATAAGCACTAATAGTGATGGTAACCTATGAGTAAAAACTGCTCATTATTACGAAGGACAAGATAAAGAAGAACCCACGGATGAAGAATTGAGATTTTTAAAAAACACTACGGAGAAATTAAAAGAATGGTTGGAAGAATACACTAGTAAAAAAATGGAAAAAAGAACTTGTTATACCCAAGAATTTGTTGATAAAAATACGTTATTTTTAAAAGATTATCAGCAAGGAGGAGAATGAGCTCAAGTTGGCAAATTAAAAATTAAGGCTTACCAAGACATTAGAGTTTTAATGTTGGCAGAAGGAACCCAATTAATTAAAAAAATTGAAAAGAAATTGGATAAAACCAGAAAAGGTTATGAACTTTATACAGTGGTGGGAATGCGAAAAGTGAATGACGAAAGGCTGTTGATTACCTTGGAAAGAGATTTTATTGCTGAATGATGGCCGCGAGCTTTTGATTTAGAAGGTTTATGACAATTTTCTGCCCGTCCTTTAACTAAAAAAATGATTGAGGATTGGGAAAATGGTCGCCCTTTACAAAGTTGCGTTTTTTGTCCTTCCGAGGCAGGAATGGCTTCGACCAGAAGTGAAGATTTTACTTTTGACAGTGCCGATTTACTTAGCCATAAGCAATTGGAAGGTGAAGAATACAAAAAAATAATCACTGTTTCGACGGCTGCTTATTTGGCTAATGAAGCTAGAAAATTCAACGAGGGAATTATTGAAGAAGGAGGCAAAGGAATGTCTGACCTTAATGTCTTACAAAATACTCATGCTTCCGCTTTAGCTGGACGCATGGAATTAATGGAAAATGCTATTAACTTTACTGGTGATAAGTCCACAAAAGAGACATTAAAATCTTATACCCAAATACTGGGCGGAGAATTAGGACGAAGGAAAGAAGAGTTGAAAAAAACCCAAGAAGATAAAGGTAAATTAGAAAAAGAAAAAGAGGAATTGGATGAACGAAAAGCTCGCTTGGAAAATGAAGTCGAACAAATTAAGCAAGACCGAGAAAGTTTGCTCGATGAAAAAAAGAAAAAAGAAGAAGCCTTAAAGAAAGAAATAGAACTTTATGAAGAAAAAGTAAAAAAGCAGAGTGAAATGGCGGCTGAATATAAGCGAACTAGTGGAGAACTGGATAGTTTACGATTCCAAATTGACCAAAACCGCACCTCTCTCGCTAATCTTACTGACCAAAGTGCAACGGCGGAAAGAATTCGCTTACGCGGTGAGCAAGACATACTAAAAGCCAAAAGTATTGAATTAGAGAGAAAATTAGGCATACATGAGACGGAATTAAGCAGACTAGGTGGAGAAATCGAAATAAATCGAGAAAGAATTAGACACCACCAAGAACAAATTCAAAATATCCATATTAATCTGAATAATCTTAATACAGGATTAAATGATTTAGCAAGAAAACTAGGAGAATTAGAGCAAGAATATGCTAGATTAAAGAATGATTGAAATGTTATGGAGATTAAACTAGTAGGAATGGAAAGACCTGATTGATTGCCTTCGAGGGGTGGTGATGATTTACCTTGACGAAGAACAACTTCAACATCGACTTCTACTTCAACACCAAGAGAATTTCGATTAAACGTTCGAATTATACAAACCGAAACTCTTAACGGCTCAGTTTTTTACAGACCGCCGTTTAATGAACCAACAAGGACTTATGGCGGTGAAGGTACCCAATGAGGAAGTTGTAGTAACCCTATTGCTGGTAATGTTTCCCAATCTTTGTTATTTACAAGTGTCGAAAATGCTAGAAACACCATTACTGCTTTTCAATCAAAAGTAATGCATGTTTTTGTTAAAGTTTTCGGCAACACACTTAATTTTGAAAATCACACTAGTCGAAATGTTGTTTATCAAACTATTCAATTGTTGCAAAATATGATTAGTCGACACGAGAGAGGAGGAAATATCAATCTCCGTTGCACAGTTACTGATAATAACTGAGAAGAATAAAAAACATAGATATGATAGAAAATAACAAAAAATGCGATGCCTGCTTAAAAGAAATAAAAAGCAAAGAACCATGTTTTGGTTGCTACATTAACCAAGACCAAAAACTAGAAAATTTTATCACTCAAAAAAAAGGAAAAAGGCACCAGACTGATTCCTATCTTTTTTGTTCCACCTGCCAAGAACATTGAAAAATATTCCAGTTAAAAATTAAAAGAGAAGAATTAAAAGAAACTAAATGCGATTTTTGTGAGAAGTTTCTTTTAGGAAAAACTGAATTAGCCACCCTTTATTACGAAATTTATAAACTTCCTTCCATGGTTGAAAATAATTCTGACGAAATCATTGATAAAATTGCTTGTGCTAAATGTTGAGGAAGAAACAAATGGCAATATTATCCGGAGAGAATTTATTTAGAAATGATTGTTAATCCTGACCGAATATTAGGGTTAGAATGATACGGCAAAGAGAAAAGCAGAGTGATTGATTTGGGTTGAGGAAAATAACGATTTTTTTTTTTGTTAAAATATAAAATTATAATAAAGCAAGGAAGTAAACCAATATAATTATTTAATCTTAGAAAGGAAGAAAAAAAAATAATGAATAAACCAGAAAAATATTGCGACTTGTGCTTAAAAGAAATTAAGAGCGTTCCTTGTGAACAATACGAAGGTGATGACATTATTAAAAAAAATAAAGAACTTTTTTCTGAATTTATTCAGAAAAGAGGAGGCAAGCAACATGAAAAAAAAATGTATATTTTTTGCTATCATTGTAATAGAGAAATAGAAAAAATATTGGGAAAAGAAGAATCTTCCATATACAAAAAATGTAGCTTCTGTGGTAAAGAACAAGACGAGTGAGGAACAGTTTTAGAAGCTTGTATTGGGTCGTGTGGTTGGACGACTTGCCACCATCTAACCGAAGAAGAATACACAAAAAACAAAAACGAGTTATCTGAAAAAACAAAACAACATGTTTACAATTGCCAAAAAGCAAAAGATTATTTTAAAACAGGAAAAGTAGCAGAAGAAACAAAAAAAGAATGAGAAAAGCTTCTTAGAGTTGATAATTTTGATAGTTGAATGAATTCATCCACAACAGAAAAAAATAGTTCTACAAGTCCTAAATCTGATACTCTTTCCAATTCAAATAAAAACACCACTATTTATTGAGTATTAGGAAGCATAGCAGGAATAGGAATAATTGGCGGAATTGCTTACTGATTGATTAAGAGGAATAAAGGAAAAGAAAATAGGACTAGTTAAATACGGTTAAAAAGTATTTTTCAGAATTTAGTAATAATTTTTTTGCTAATTTTGATAAATACTTTTTAAAAAACAAATTATAAGGAAATAAACCAAATAATTTATAAATATGTTTAAGTTTATTTTCAAAAGTGCTTTTAAATGAAACAAAGAGAGAGAGAGAGAGAGAGAGAGAGAATTTTTTAGTCCTAACTTCTTTATCTTATGTGGATTTTCTAGTCTAATGACTTTTTTAGCACTAAAATTGAGATTGAGGAGGAAATATTAATATGGTTGATTGTGTTTGTAAGCGATGCGGTCGAGAAATAATAAGTAGTGCAAAGCAAGAATTTTGCCAAAATTGCCAATATGAAAACCAAAAAGAAGCACAAGAAAGAAAAAGAAAACGAGAAGTTGAGAGAGTAGAAATTAGTTTAGAAGCCATTAAAAAATATATGGAAAAAAATCATTATATCTCTTTGTATTTTTCTCCTCAATGGACTTCTCAGGGTGAGATTAAAAAAGGATATGTTGGAACAAAATATTGGGACATGGGACGCAGTAGAATGAGTGGGAATTGATTTTATTGAGAAGGTTTGTTAAATACTAGGGAAGAAGGTAGTGCTTTTTTAACTAAGTTAGTTCAATGAGCCGAGCAAGAGAATGTTAAAAAGATAGATGCTAAATTCATAAAACAAGAATATCCAAAAGAAAATATAACTAGTGATATAATTATTGAAAAATGAACCGCCGAAGAGATTAAAGCCCATGGTCATACTAATCAATGAAAATGTTTAGATTGTGGAGCCAAGAGTGAAACCGAATTTGGAGGATGGTGTTCTAATTGTAATAGTAAGAACTTAGAAGTATGGCTTGAAGGCTTACATTATACTTGTTCAGAATGTCCTAAGTGTCATAAAGTTAGGGATATAAAATACCATGATGTTCCTTCTGGTGAAGCCGAAAGGTTAAGGAGGTTAGCCAAACAAAATTGAGAATTATACAACGAATTGTGTGGAGGTTGTTCGCTATCTAGTGTTTCATCTAAAAGCAAAGGAAATTTTCAAGGAAGAAGCAATAATACTACTTTGTGAGCATTAGGAATCGGAACAGTGGTGATTATTGTTACTAGTTTAGTTGGTTATTTTTGGTGAAAGCAAAGGAAAAGCAGAGAGGAATAATGAATAAATTTTTAATCAATTATCTGATTTTTAGGAAACTTTTTTGATTATTTGAAGTTAGCTAATTTATTCTGAAATTGAATCATTTTGGCTTCTAATTTGCCCATTGAACTTTCAACTTTGGCTATACCAGTGTCAACCTTAGCAATCTCTTCGTTAGAATTGTCTTTTTGTTTTTCTAAATCTTCTTTTTCCTTTTGTAAATCTTCGCTAAGTTTTTTATAACTGTCTCGTTCTTTTTTTAAATCTTCTAAGACTTTGAGGGCATCTTGTAAGCCTTTTTCGTATTCATCAACAATTTTTTCGTATTTTTCTATATTATCATTTAATTCTTTTAATTTTTCTTCTCGTGTCATGTTATATTTTTAAGGGTTATTTTTTTTCAAAGGTTCTTGGATTTGAGCTTTGAATTCGTTAAGGATTTTTTCGGCTCGTTTAGTAGCATTGGCTAGCCGTTCAGTGCTTTGGCTTACTTTTTCTATGTCCTCGTCTCCTTGTTTTGCTTCATCTCTGAATTTTTTGTTAGCTTCTGCTAACTGATACTTTAATTCAGCTATTTCTTCAACTTGCTTTTGTTGTTCGTTTTGTCATTTTAGTTCTTTTTGGTTTAGTTCTTGGAGGAAACGCTCATGACTGGCTTGTTCGTCAAACAAACTTTTTCAAGCCTTTTCTAATTGGAGTTGGTTAGTTCTTAATTCTTCGTTCTCGACAAGGAGTTCTTGTTTACTCAGTTGGTTGATTTTTTCGGTAGTTTCGATTTCAAAATTATTAATGTCTTTGAATAATTCTTGCACTATTTCATCAGTATTTGAGTTGTCTTCCATGGCTGGTAAGTAGTTAAACAGGGGCGAGTTGGAATGCCTTTTACTTTCTCTTTTGGAAACTTGCTCGGTAGGGTTAATTACGCTCTCTGTTGTGGGTGAACTCACCATTTCGTTTTTAAAAAATCCCCCTTTGCTTTCGCCGCTTTGTTTAGTAGTTTGGGCTAATTCTAAAAAAAGACTGGTGTCGACTTTCCTTTCTTCGTTTTTTCCGTAAGTAGAAGTGCGGGGCGAATTGTTTTGACTAACGGGCAAGCTGCTCGTGCTTAAAGTAGATTTATGACCATAAGAATGATGCCTAGTGAGAGGAATAGTGTCCGTTTGAAAAGTTCTTAAATTATTTAAGGTTTGGTGAAAGGCTTGCTCGCGTTGGATTTTTTCTTCTTTGTATTTCTGCTCTTGCTCGGTGATTATTTTTTGAAACTGCTCTTTTTCCTCTTGGCCTAATTTTTTTATTTGGTTTAATTCGTCAATTTTGGCTAACAGGGTGAGGTTGATTTGGTCTTGGCTAGTTTTTAAACGGAGATTTTCTTCAACTTCCCGGAGTAATTTTTGCTCTAACTTTTGCCGACTCAATCTTTCTTCATTTAAAAGCTCATTTAACTGGCTACTTTTTCCACACTCTTGAAAAAAATCATCATTGCTTTCTTTGGCTTCAATTTCTAAATCTTTGATTAAAATTTCTTGGTTATCTATTTTCGTTTGTAAAAGGGCTTGATTGACTCTTTCTTGGTTTCAGGCTTTTTCTTTTTCAATTCATTGGGCTTTTTCCGCTTCTAAGCGTTGGATTTCTTTTTCTTTTCATTTTAAATGGTTTTGGTTAATTTGGAATTTTCTTTGTCAATCGTTTTCTTGTCCTTGTAATCCAGCCAGAGCATTTTCGATATTCTCCGTGTTGGTTTTTTCTTGGTTTAAAAAGCTATCTAATACACCGCCGATATCTTGGAAATTAGGCAAGGTTGGTGAAAAGGTTAAATGGCTGGGCGAGGGGGAAGAATTAAGGCTCGGTGAGGAATAAGGAGCCAGGGGCGAAGGAAAAGCGGGCGACAAAAGGTTATAATTGTTCGGCGAGGAACCCCGGCGGGGAGTAATATCCGGAAAAGTGGGGGTTTCTTGGAGGGAGATTTGCGAACTGCGGCGACTGATTTTGTGATAAGTTGCTTGGGTTTGGGCTTGATAGTTATCAATTGTGCTTTTTTGCTGCTGGATTTGGGCTGATTGATTATTAATTATTTCTAATAAATTATTAATCGTGGTTAAAGCTTGGTCTGGGTCAGCAATAATTTGTTCTAATTGGGTTTGGTTAAGCAATAAATTGGGATTTTCGGAGTTTAATTGCTCTAGTTGGTTGGTGGTTTTTTCGTTTTTCATATGTTTTTTTTAACAGAATTTGTTGTTTGTGATTACCTAAAAACAGATATATGTTCAAAATGTAATTAAACCAAAGGTTGAAGGAGTTGGTGTTCGTGGTTTTTGACAAGGTGCTGTCCTTAATTATTTGAAGCAACAAGCTTTACACTTCATTGGCACTACTTTGAAGGAGTTAGCTATTGAAAAGTTGGTAGACCTAAGCAAATGATTATTAGAACAAATGGAAGAGCAAATTCTTTCTCTTTATAAAAAAGCTAGTAAAACAGAAAAGGAGGCTTTTAGAAAGAAAATCACAGAAGTTTGCCCAGGTAGTCATTTGTTAGAGAAAATGAGTGATATTGATTTAACTTAAAAATGAGTGGATTGTTAAAAAGCCAAGAACGAAAGAATATGAATAAGGATAAGGATAAACCGACAGTAGAAGAAAGAAAGCAAGTAAATACTCTAGAACAATACTTTAAAATACCTGGTTCTAGACGAGAAAGGGCAATAGAAACAGAAACTTTTATCACTAGCTGACTTTATGAGAATGGGCGAAGGGTTCACATGCTTTCTAGAAGAAATGAAAGTCACCAAGCAAGAGATATTCTTAGCCCAGGTTCATTAGATAACTTAGATAGGCAAATAGAAAGCTCAGCGATTGACTATGTGGAAGGCACTTTGGTTAAATCTTATAATGAAGGGTGTCCAGAAGCTTTTGGTGCCCAAGACCTTTGAGGTAAAATGATTGCTAACTTCTTGAAACCACAACCTTTAAACTTTTTAGCTAAAATAATTACTTTATTGAAAGAACGACCAATCCCTTTGACTTTGAATGGTGTTAACCTGTCTGAATATTTATTTAAAGAATTAGAAAAAGAACTAAAAGAAAAGTATAATCAAGCTACTCCTGAGAAGCAGAAAGAATTTAAACAAAAGTTGCCTTATGAAATTGATTGGTAGAAGCAAAAATTAAGATATGACTAATTGAGCAGATATTCATGAGGATTTTGGTGAATATTGACGACAAGAATGAGAAAACCAAGGTTTAACCTACCAAGATGCCCAACAATGAATTCCCGTAGGGCTTAGACCAAAATATGACTATGACCTCGCCTCTTATTTAAAACAAAATAATATAACTCCTGAACAATATAAAAACCATACTCCCCAAGAACAATTAGCTTACTTTTATGCTGATAAAAACCAAGTAAAAACAATTGATTTAGATTATTTAAACCTCAGCCAACCCAGTGAACTAATCATTGATAACTATCCTAATTTAAAGGAAATGAATGGAGAAGATATTCCCAACCTCACTCAACTAACCATCACTAATTGTCCTCAATTGGAAGAAATAGAAATCAATCACTCTAAAAACCTCCAACAATTAACCTTAAATAACTTACCTAACTTAAAGAAACTTGATTGTTATCATAATAACCTAACCACCTTAGATTTAAGTGATTGTGCTAGTTTAGAAAGAATTAGTTGCTCTGGTAATCAACTCACCCA